GGGCCTGTATTTTCCCAGATTTGCAGATCTGTCCCTCACGAATTTCCCTACAGGCAGGTCTCTCGGTTAGCCCTCAGCCAAACAAAATTGCGAATCTAACCCTACCGGGTAGTGTACAGCCTCGCAGTCAATCTTGGCAGTCGAAATCAGCAAGTCATTGCACACGGATGAGTGGGAACTGTTGACATGACTATCTTCCCCCATTGAAACACACTGTCATTTTCAATGCATCTAAACCAAAAGTTGCCCAAAATACAGATACACTGACCTTACATTCTATTCGGTTGAAAGACAGTAGTACACAGTATTCTCACCGTCAGGATGAAAAGTAAAAGTTGAGTTTTCAAAGAATTTCACGCTGTTCTAAGAGATAATGAATGCGTCGGTGCGGACAATCAGCAGGGAAGTCATGTGTTGATACATGCGCTGCGCCCCTCAACGACTACACGCCAGACATCCCTGTGTAATGGGGTGCTGCAGTGAGCTTTACATTTACATTACTGAGCTCTGCCTCACAGATAGACTCCTGCCGGAATCGTCCTTGGCATGCTTCTTTTTTTTTTTCTTTTTTTTTTTCGTTAAAAACAACGCTAGGCTTAGCAATTTGTAGGGGTGCTGATAAGAGCAGGCACCACTAGCACTGCCGGGGAGGCTCCATCTATTGGTGGGGAGCAGCACCTGCTGGAAAGCGGGTCCAGCGTCCCTGAACACTGTAGTTGTTTGTGTGAATAGACATGCAATTGTATGACAGCAAGCTACTGGCCTCACCTATACTTGTCTCTTGAGGTTCTGGTTTCTTTTTCAATTGGCCCTGTCCAGGCAATGGTTGTGTCCACAGTGCCCCAATGGGCTACAAGCCTTCCTTTTTCCATTTCTTTCTGAAGGGAGTAGCCCCTAACATTATTGCGTCCCTCTGACTCGCGGCAGGATTTGAACTCATGGTCTGTTCATAAACAGTTACATGTGTACCATTCAGCCATATGGGCTGGGTAATGGTTTCCAGGGCCAAGGCTTCATGTATTGCGATGATGGTCCGCCAATGGGTACCAAAAAGATTTCCTCCCATCTTGCGATGGTTTTGGGGGGATTCAGCTTACCTAAGGCTGGGTTAACAGCTCCCGAAATTTGGTTCGAGTGTCCACAATCTTTGTTGAAAGCTGACAAATTGACACATCCTTTTGTCGGGGCACTCCCCGTCTTCCCGTGAACGCAATGCACCCTCATTACCATTGTATAGCACCAGAAAGATAGCTTGTATACAATCAGGGATGAGTTGTGTGGTCGGGGGAAGACAGTACTCAACCACTTTAGTTCCCATAACAAAGGCTAGTTTGAAAATTTGAACTGCTTTCTGAAGAAGTGCCAATCATCTGCCTTGAGAGTTGACACCACCATTTTCTTAGGCGGGCGCGCGAATCAGCGACTGTGTTTGAGTGTCCACAATCTTTGTTGAAAGCTGACAAATTGACACATCCTTTTGTCTGGGCACTCCCTGTCTTCCCATGAACACAATGCACCCTCATTACCATTGTATAGCACCAAAAAGATAGCTTGTATACAATCAGGGATGTGTTGTGTGTTCGGGGGAAGACAGTACNATGAACACAATGCACCCTCATTACCATTGTATAGCACCAAAAAGATAGCTTGTATACAATCAGGGATGTGTTGTGTGTTCGGGGGAAGACAGTACTCAACCACTTTAGTTCCCATAACCAAGGCTAGTTTGAAAATTTGAACTGCTTTCTGAAGAAGTGCCAATCATCTGCCTTGAGAGTTGACACCACCTTTTTCTCAGGCGGGCGCGTGAATCAACGACTGGTGTATAACAGCCTGAGGAGGAAAACAACTACGGTCTGCATGGGCACTTACAAAAAATATCAAAGCACAGGGTAATAACTTAACAGCCAGTCTCACTCAAAGACAAGAAAAGGAACGTACCAAATAGCTGGTGACAATCACCAATCCAGGAGCATGGTGGTGTATGACGGCAGGTCCATTCGTTCTCTATTCCACAGCAAGATTTACCGTTTGAGTCAAGTCCGCATACAGTTGAGGAGCATTGTTCGATCGTGTAGCACATGCTTCCACCTTCCTTATCCTTTATGGCGGAACAAAGTTGTGCATAACCTCCAGCCTTTCGGCATGGATTAAGCTCTGAAAGTTTACATCCGCCACAGACACAATAGCAACCACATCAACAACAGTGAGATAAACTTACAGAAACAATAGCTAGAGAACCTGGAGGATCAAGAGCAGGCTCGTAAGAGTAAGGAAGACCCACCCTCAATCAAGTCCTGATTAACAGAGTCTACAAATCTAGACGAGGCAC